ATAAAGCGTTAAGCACTCGGCTGCAGCTGCATCTGCACCCTGCACCCTGCCGCCCATTAAAACACCCGGGCACCCGCTGCACAAAAGCCCAGCAAACACAAAAGGCGGCAGCAGCGAATATGCAACCCCTTTAGGCCAGTTGCAAGACAACACAGTGGCGGGGTAGGGGGGGCTTAGCAGGGGGAATGGGTGTCGTAAAGCAAAGGGGAAACAGCATTTGGAGCCATAAAGTGGGCAAAATGCGAAAGTCTGGTAGCAACATAACAAAAAAGCATTGCATATTTCACGGAGTCACGACACCCAAGTGGGCAGCCCTCCAACGTACAAATGTGTGTACACTTGGAGGAGTGGCAGGGATTCGAATGCATCGTCAGCACTTGGGTATACCTATCCTGTATCTAATGTCCTTAACTGCCGGGGAGGAACATAAAACTCGTCAATAAAAACACAGCTGATATTCTAATTAACTTTATATTCGTTATAAAACATTTGATTTTAATCTGGAAATGTTTTTTTTTGAGCCCAAGCCAAAATAAAACACGACAATATAAATAATCTGAAAATATTTGATTGTTTTGTATTTGTTGTGTATTCATTTAATTTAACAAAAGTTTCGAATCAAGAGGTATAGTTTTTCCAGTTTAAATAATTCGGTAACGGGCTTGAGGAGTAAGTACCAGAAATCTAATCTCTATACAACAAAGAACAATCAAAGTTGGTATTAAAATGTTTTATAAATTTATTAATTTATTAAAGATGTTGGTAAAGCTTACAAAACTAAGACTAACTTAGGGGGAGAAGTATTAGATGCGAATCTTCCACTACGTATTTTCAGTAGGGTAACCTAATTTTGTATTAAAATGTACTTCTAAAAAATGGTAGTGTAATGCTGAAATCTAATGTCTTTATAGCAACATTAAAAACACATTTAAACATTTTTTGAAAAACAATTTTGATCAATTTCTGAGACATACTTGTAAAATAAGTACGGATTATTTTGTATGGTTAAGCCATAATCACCCTTTAGTGTGGCGAAACTAAGAGGGAATCGCAGCAGCATCGTTTAAATTGCAACTTCAATTCAGTTTCTGCTGTGCTGCCACTGGCAATGTTAATGCTTTTAATGCTGGAGAAAGGGGGCGGTACAGGGCGGAGGGCGTGGCAAGTGGAAAGTATGGGTAGTTACCAGGGTGTTTGGCTGGTGATTACATCCAACTAAAAAGTGATTTGCATATATTTTTAGCACCCAGCAGAAATTGTTGGGTGTTTCTCCTCTAATTGCAAAGCAGAAAGAGAGTTTTTCAAGCCATTATCAATGTACCTGTTCGTTTTCAAGACAAAGTTTCTGTCTGCCACAAAGTATTTGCAGAATGTCGTCCTTTCGACGAATTTCCAAGAAAATTGCATGAGCTTGCATGACTTGTGGGAGTTTGTGCTTTTCCCCTAATAAGGGTTATTGACACAAGTGCACAATGCCCCAGTCGAATTGTATATCCTTGCATTTGTATTTATTTTTGCAGTTCTTCAGGCCAAAAGTCTGCGAAGCTTAAAATTTATTTGCCTTATCCGAGAAACTTATTCGCTCATGTCACAGACGTCGAGACGCCAAAGTTCAATAACATTGAAGTCGGGGACCGAAGGAAAAATTTAGAAAATCCCCCCAGGAAAGTCACCACCCGTGGGAGGGCAGCCCCTAAAATCCAAATGACTGCAAGGACTCGTAAAGCATTTCGGACATAAAGGACATGAGCACGTGCAGCCAGAAAGCCCGTAAATTCTCCACATTTAACGAAATGGAAATTTCGCCAGACGAACCACAAAGAAGGGAGCTCGGGATGACTAGATGCGGGAGTCTGGATTGGGGGAATAGGGAATGGAATGGGGAATGGGTGGCGAGGGCGATGTGACTGACAGGACGTGCCGGGGTCGGGATCTTCATCGGTTGCCAGGTGGACCAGATGGGCCAGGTGTATCTAAAGTTCGTCTGCTGCTTTGTATTGTGTGGCCTTGCCGCTGAAAAACGTGTTTTGATTTTTCGCGAGAAAGCTGTTACTTCTTTCCCCATTTAATTCTCGCATTTAGACACAAAGCCAAAGAAACAACACTCTGAATGAATGAATCTTTTAGCTTGTTCCGACTAAAGCCGAAGAGCAAACTTACCAACAAGATATATAGCAGTTGTGGCTAAGTCAGGGGCTGTATCAAAGGGGTTTCTATGGCTAAAGATCCCCAGTCGGAAACCAACCTAAGCCTCTGTCCTGGGTAAAAATACGGCTTAGTTCTGTTGGCTATGGTAACTTTAATTAAAACAGTCATGAATAATTTTATTGGGCTTGTGACAGTAAGCGAATGAAAAATAAAATAGTCGGCTCGTTTGCATAATATAACTTTAAAAAGACCTTGAACTAACCGTTCCACATAACAGCGAAATGCGTGAAAGAAATACGAGAATTATGAGTGGCAAAGTAGAGAATAAAAATTAAGATAATACAATAGTAGCCTCAAATTCTTGGGAAAAGCCCAGGGGATGAAATCATTTATATAAATACAACCAACTTGAGATCAAAACATGCTCCTAAGTAACCGAAGCCCTGCGATTGCTGATGAAAAGTATAAATGTGCCCTAAGAAATAAACTATTTCAACATTAATCATCAAGACCCAGCTTAGTCACACTTCTCACACACTTTTCGCCAAGTCTTCGACCCAATCCCCAAAACAAAAAATGGTAACGAACGCCAGATAATGATGCGTAAGACCAAGCCCCTCAAAACCCATGGACTGATGAACTGACCCAACTAATCATTAATTATATGCAAAGGAAGAATAAAGGAAAAACTTTCAAATGGCCAGACTTCGTCGCGACTATTAAACCAATTATAGCTTTTGTTTTGGAGAGGTGGACAGGCAAAAAAGGCGGGGTGGCCAAATGGAATTAATGGAGAGCATAAAAGCGTATTTCTCGTACAAAGACGGAGGCGTCAAGGAACCCTCTAGTGCCAATATTCGTTGTTGTGTTTGGTGGGGTGGCAAAGACTGGCTTAACCGCACAATAAATGCGCAACAAGGGGCCATAAACATGGCTAAGAGCAGATGAAATTCCAGGGGCAGAAGATGCTGTCCCAAGATGAACTCTTGAACTTGGGTTCAACACTCGTTGGCCAAAAAACAAAGCCTTACTCAGCCAGGACGAATGAGTGAATGAATGAATGAATGGCTGAATGTGCTTAGGGGTCAAAAGACGACTCTGCCAATTGAATATTTAAGGGCTTCCAAATTAAGCATACGCAGTGTTGGGCATCTTCCAACTCGAGTGGATGTACATATATCTTATGCAACCCAATTGGCGGTTAACTTTAATATTTAAAGTGCATGAGAAAGGAGGGAAGAAGGCCATGGCTGCACATAAATATCTTATTACTTTCGTGGCCAAGGAGATGATGAGTTGTCAAAAAGTCAAAGAAAGGTAATTAAGGCTTGAGACGTCTTGGCTCAACATCCGCTCTGCTCCTCAAATATTTATTTATTGATTTTCTTAAACGCTTTGTGCTCGCTTTTCGCTCGCTTCTTGGCCATTTGAGTGACGTCTGTCACATTGTGTTAAGTCCCATTCTCCATTCTCCACTATCCATTGCCGAGCATAATTGGCAGCCGAGTGCAACATTCTGCCGGCTCTCTCTCTCTCTTTCAGCCACTGTTAGCTGGCTGTTAGCCTCTAATGCGCTGCTTCTGCTTCTGTTCTGTTTTCAAGTTTATGGTCAATGGCTGTGCATCCGCTCTCTTGCCGCTTTTTCCGCTCCAACTGTAAATTTTGACCAGTTTGGCCTGCTGCTGCTTTCCTCTCTCTCTTTCCCACTCACTCTCTTCCCCACAAAGTGGCAGTTGGCTGCAGCTAGCGGCGCTTTTGTTTCAGCCATTCTAAGCTCAACCAACAGTGTTCAGCAGCGTAACGAAAAAATCACAAGCCTTACTCAAATATTGAAGAACCTTTTTAAGGGAATCTTATCTGTAAAAATATAAATTTTAAAATTACCATTTCTTTAAATTAATAATTCTTTTTTAACGGAATTTAATAAAATTATTCAATGAAAATTGCATATCTATATGAATTGCCAAAGACAAGAAGTGCACTTCATCTAATAACTGTTTTACCTTGTTGTTAGCCTCGATTATCAGGACTGGTATCGCTAACTTATCTATCTATAAAATCTATTTATACGATATAAACGTACATAAACGTACCGCTTGGAGATGGAAATCAAGTACTATTCTTTCTTCCATTGCTCGGGTTAAAATAAACAAATATCAAATCGACTTCAAAAGTTAACATAATACGTTATATCCAAATAAACAAATTGGACCAGAAAATACCAGTCAATATTGAAGCTGCCTATTGAAATAAACACGAAGCAGTAACCGTTTGTATTTATAATTATTTAATTCCATTTACGCATTACATTAATTGCAAAGATATAGAATTGGTGGTTCATTTAAATTACTTTTTCCCCTGTTGACTGTGATATTTTTATTTTCACACACCTACTGTAATGACGTTATAGTCACAAGATAGTATTGTAATATAAATTAAATTTAAAAATACCCTAAACGAAATTTTTATAGAGGTGTGACTTCTCGAGCTCTGGGACGAATAATACGCATCTAATAGAAGGTAGCAGGCCCTAAAAATAGAACTTTACGATACGCCAGTCGGCATGTGTAGCCAAAGTCTATGGCCAAGGCAGTATAAATCCACAGATCGCAGCTTGGGCCTTATCTCGCGAAGAAGAAGTGAGCACGGCTACCTGGATCGAATCAGCGGAGCTCGAAATGCTGGGTGCTGAGCCGGTGGTCATTAATCGCGCCATGTAGCCATGGACCGCAGCTCCACGAATTCACAAATCAACAGTCACAGCCCCCGAGAGTTAACAGCGAGAGAGAAGGCTCTGTTAAGCACAACATTGGTGTGTATCCGCCAGATACTTTTCCGTTTGCCGATTCAGTATTCAGTCTTTCATTGGTGCTCACCGGCTGCGCGTGCTAAGCTCTGAATAGGTCCAGAATTGTGTTGTTCAGATATTCAGTATTCAAACTCCGGGCAATCCGCTGCCGCTTTATAAACAAACAGTTAAACAAACCGCTCGAACGTCGCCGTGTGTGTGTGCTTTTCGCCCTCATTGTGCTCTCGTGCAAATGAAAATTTCATTGAGCAGAAAGTCGCAGCAGCAGCAGCAGCAGCAGAAAAGTGGAAAATCCTAAAGCGGCACCAGCCACAGCAAAAAGAAAATAATTTTTAAATCTCAATCTCGGCAAGTGAAATTTGAGTCGAGAACCAGACGCAGCAATTAAGCCAAATACAGACGAGTCAAGAAGAATCCATCGCTGGAAAACTGCCAAAAGTAAATTTTATTTGAGTTCTTAGAAATTATTTGTAATTATGATACGGGGAATTAAATGGGACCTCTATACAATTACAATTACAATGTCTCATTTTAAATATGTGAGAACTTGTATAGGAATTCGCGTTTAAAATTAGAGAATTGATGTCACACTCAGAGTTAATATTATATAATGATATATAGTTATTTAGTTTAAATTAAATTTAAACAGCATGAACAAAGTTTCAACTTTTTTCAAGTGTGAACAAATGCTTTATAAGTTCCACATCACTTATGTAACAAAGGTTTAAAGATATTAAGAAAACACATATTTTTTAAAGAACCTAGATAAATAACTCCCTCTTACAGACCATAAATATGTTGTCGGTTAAGTCCATGGATTGATGCTCACCAATTTCGAGTACCAACATTTTCATGCATTTCTGTAATCACCCAATAATGCTGAACACAAAATGAAAATGCCTTTCTACACCCAGAACTTTCATCGCAGTCAAGAACCGGAAAATGGCGTTGGACTTGTCTGGTTTTTGTGTTTTTCCTCGAGCGTAGACCAGTCGATCGGTCGATTTGTTTCAGCTGGCCAGCGTCCAGGAGAAGCGTGCCCGTCACAGCCACCTGTCCAGTCCCAGGCAACGTCCCACTCCCAGTTTCGGGTTCCAGATCTGGTCCCATCCCCATTTCCATTTCCATGTCCAGTGCCATTGCCACCAGAACCCGCAGACATTGCGGCACAGAAGCCGCCTTTGCCAGCAGAAAAACCTGCAGCCAAAGCGGCCAATGTGCGTGTTCAGCTGCGGAATTTTATGCAGTGGTTGCTGCCTCGTTTACGTTTTTATTTTTATCTGCGCGAGTATTTCTCCCATTTTACAACTTCATATATGAAACTTTTTATTGGCAGCGAAGGGTGGCTGGTGGTCGCTGGACGGTTGCCGCTTTTGGCCACGCACCCAGCGGAACGTAACAAAAACGCAACTGCGCTTCACGCTTCCAATTCCCAAGTGGCAGTGGCTTACAGGGGGTTTTGGGAGGTAGAACACAGCCAGACGCGCTTGAATTCCGATTAGCATTCGAATTCGGATCGACCAGACGGAGATCTCGTGTTGGCCCGCAAATCAAACACAGAAGTTGGCAGTCTGAGTGGCCAAATTAGCTGGCAAATATTAGCTTTAACAACAGCTTGTTGCATAGAAAATATTTGAGAAATGAAGGCCAATCCGGTTTTTATTAGTCCTTTCTATCCTCTTCCCCCAAAGCTCTTCAAATACATTAGATTCTCTATGATTTAACTTAAATTACACAGAATTTCTTAAAAATTAAATTTTTAAATTGGTACTTCTTGTTGAGTTTTGTTTTATTTTTTTCTGTTTCCATAAAAATATGTGTTTTCAGTTATCATAAAAATATTTAAAACGAAAATCTGTTGGAGATCAATTTATCTTATATTCGTTTTTCTGTGTATTTTCCACACTTTGCTGAATGAAAATCCTTTGTTCGTTGAAGGGGAAAACTTTCTTGGTCAGACAAGCTCTACTACAGAGTGCAAGAATGCAATTCAGTTTAATTGACTTTTTATCAATCGCAGACTCGCTTTTCCCCAGCCCACAGAAGTTTTATTATTGGATGCTGGTGCTACGAACATAGTGTATCGCAGCATGATGTGTGTCGGCAGCCGTAATTTCTTTTATGTTGTGTCTGCTGCGTTTTGTAACCTGGTTTTATTTGCAGTCATAACATTTTGCGGCCGCCTGTGTCTAATCACTGTGCACTGTGCAGTAAAAACAACACGCCACCCGATACAGATACAAGATACTTTCAGTATTGGACACACGACGCTTGATTCTGACATGCTTACATATTTTGCTTTTTTCTATTTTTTGCTTTTTCCGCCTCAATCGATATGTTTACAGGGTGCTCGAAAGCGTGTCAAAACTGCAGCTGAACGGTCGAAGATAAAGATAGAGATACAGTTAGCGATAGCGATGTTCGAATGTATCTTTAACTCATTACGCACGTTTTCGCGGGGGAATCTAGTGGGTGCCATTGTCTGGCTGACTTGAGACATCATTCCCTCCCTCTGCAGAGGGCAAAAAATCAATTTTGAGGCACAAGCCCCGACTGTTTGTTTATTTACCGACGAGCTCAGCTGGCAGATTGGCGATTAGCGCTTTGTCTTGCAGCCAAGGTCTCCTCAAGAAGTTTCCACATCGCGGGTATAGATAGATCACCAGATGAACTTGAACCCGACAAATGCTGAGTCTAATGGCTAAAGATCATAATTTATAGACGAAACTAAACATTAAACCACTGAACATTTGCGAACATCCTGGGACGACGTTTAAAAATAACCCAAAGAATAACAAAAAACGATTCTACATGGCAAAGTCAAATTCAACGGAAAAATTATATCTCAAAGAGCAAACGTAACGTCTCAAACGTTTCATTCTCGCGATTTCGTCAAAAAGATTAATAAGCAATTTTTCGTCGTGTTACCTTTTGTTTTTTGTTTCTATTCGGAGGCAGACATCTACGTGTTCGGCATAATGTTATCTGCAGATACACCGAATTATATCTCGCAACGGAAATGTATTAAAACCACATTCAAAAATTAAACGTAACGGAAGGCCCGTATGTGTAGCAGGCGAAAAAACAGTGATATACCACCGATAGATCATTTTTGGCAAAGCCATTTGAATGCCAATCACATACTGGGAGTGTCCAACTGAATGAACTGCATCTCGGACCATTCAGGTGATTTATGGCTAATGCAGAAATGATGATAAATGAGTATGGGCATTTGAATGGGCTTATAAGCCATTAAACAATAACCGTTTCATTTAACCATTTAAAGCGGAACTATAAATAAATATTAGCATGTTCACTTTATATTAATAATGTTTTTAATTAGAAGTTATTGTTCTGAATCGCAGGAGCACATTAAATAAATGAATTGAATTCATTTGAATTCATAAATAACTTGTAACATGGTTTCCAATTAAAGCAAGTCAGACTCTATGAAACTATAGAAAACAAAACAGAATTACTTGAGTGCACACAGACTGCAGAGATGGAGATATACATCGAGGAATCGTGGAATCATTGAACTCTAACCCACTGCGGACAGCTGACAATCGGCGGGCTGACATGGCGTATGTGTAATGTGATTGTAGCTACAGAACTGCACTTATAGACACAACTATATGACCCTATATACAAACAGGCACGGCTGTATGTGCGTGGTTTATTGATATAGGGAGTCCATTGTGCCAGTGCTCGCAGCTCGTTGCATCTTTTATGATGTACACTGTATGCGCAAACCATTATTACTGTTTTTTAATCATAAACACAATGAGTAATGAAAGAATTATAAATAAACAATGACAAATAAAATATTAATATTTAAAGAAATGCAACAAAAAGAAGGAATAAAATGTTTTAAAGAAAAAATCTATAATTAAACAACGTCATTTACGAAAAAAAGTTATATGATACATCTGTCTATTATTAATTATAATGTGTATTATTAATTACAAGTCAGTGAAGTTTTGGAAACATAAAAACTTTTTACTTCAATTATTTAGTCTTTATAAAGCAGTAAATGCAAAAATGGTGTTCTAAGCATTTTGAGGTCCCTTTTATCTTTAATGTGTTATATGGAGCCCATATTTAAAATTTTTACAGACATCGTATTTCTCATTTGTGATCCAAGCAATGAAAATAGTTTTTGACAGTGCAGCTGACTAACACTATGTGGACTCATTTGCTGACGATTTTATGACTTTGGCAGAGCCCGAGAACTTCATGCATATATGGTATACCATTCGTGGATCCATTACCACCGTTACATGTATAACGCGAGGGCAATCATAAATATATAAATGTACAATGAACTTGACTGGCTGTTGGGGGTGGAGAAAGAGGGTATGTGCGCGCACTTTGCGTGTGATTTCCGTGATTTTACCCCAACCCCTCCCTCGGTTTCTACTGCTCGATTTATCACTTATGTGCCTTGCTTATTTATAGACATTTCAGTATTGACAAGCAGTCAGACGTAAATGTGCTGGTACACATATTTGTTGATTGCTCTTTTGGTCCCGCTTTCAATGCACCTCCCCAACCCCGTGGAAAAACCACCTATCCAACATACCCACCGAACCTCATCCATACCTCTTGTGACTTTGAAATGCGTGCGATGTGCTTACATTATCGATTTCCCAGATTTCTGGCTGGTATGTGATAACCGAACTGGAGTTCCCTCCATAGGGAACTTGAACTAGGGCGTGGGCCGAAGGGGGTTTCTTCTATGAAAAACAGCCCCTTTGAAAGCGCAGCTATGAGTAAACATTCGCGTGATTACCCAATAAACATACACAGGAAATATAGAGATAACAACTGGATTTCCCAAGAATTTATCTAAACTTTTGTCTGGATAATGGATGAGTTTTTTTGTGGGTTCTCAGTACTAAGAAGCAATTAATGCACCTATTTAATTTTCTGTTTTGCTTCTGTTTTAAAGCAATTAGTATAAATCTTAATATTTGAAAATGGGGAATTTCTTATTAGCTGTTTAGAAATCCTCCTTTTTTTTAGAAATACAAGTAGAAATACAATGAGTCTTTTTCTATAAATATTAAAATTGCACCATCTCCTTTAGTGATCCCAAATATTTCCACAATATTTATTTTTGGTCTCCTTTGCGAAATGTCGGTCAATCCGTTGGACCCAATGAGAAATGACATCTATTTATAAATGGCAAAACTTTTATTCCACTTGCGACCATCACTCACCGAGACTTCTCACACCTAGTCGAACATTTTCTCAGAGTCCGTGACGCAATTTCGCAGTGAGCCAAGAACTACAAAAACATTGCGTAAACAATAAATTAGCCAGCAAATACGATGCTTGGAAAAACAGTTTAGCCCATTGTATTTTATTTGATTTTTTCCGCCTCGAAAACCATGTCAAGTAGACCGCCCTAGAGGAGTTCAGCTTAGTCGGGCTTA